TGCACAAATTTTGGCAGCAAGTAGTAACTCAAATATGCCGTTCTCGTTGTCCCTGTTATTCATTAGGTTCCTTAACAGATTCAAAGAGACCATGTCATCACCTTCTGCATAATAACATAGGGCAAGGGTAGTGTACTTTTGTCTTCTAACAACAATTCCAGGGAGCAACTCCTCAACCTGATGGGCGAGTGCCCTAAACTCACCTGCAATGGATAATGCAAAGCAGAGGTGATCCAAGATCGATGGATCCCATACAATTTTATTGACGATGTATCTTCTTAGAAGAACCAGAAGCAGCAAAATAGCTTCTTCTATATTGTTTCTAGGTATGAAGGAACCTTCTGCCTGTGCGCGAAGATTTGGAGGAGCTGCATCAGTGCCACTGTATAAGAGAAATATAGCATACTGCTTTTCTATTTTGCTTCTCGTTTCCACATCAAGATTCCACCGATAAAGCAGGGCCCTTCTATATGACAAGATTGCTTCTTGAGGAGCACAAGCTAGCTTCCACAGCTCAGGAAGTAACTCCATCGCCTTGTTCAAGGTTTCCAACAATTTGCAATCAGCAGAAAAGTTCTCATGTAAGCCATCTGGCAAAGCAGACTCAACTGTATCCAGTATCACTGTACACGACTGAGCAGCTTCTGCAAAAGTCATAAAGGAAATCTTTAATGCCCAATAACAATCGACAATGCCAGTACATTAAAAAGAATAAACATGCACAGATAGAGGTAACGTGACAGTAAATGGAAATTAACCCTAAGCAGGCATCTTCTTGACTCAGTATTCCACAATAAAGTCAGCGGAATTATAATTGCCAAAGAATAAAATATGCAGTAGAATAAACACATATCATGAACTTAGCTAATAAGGTGAGGAAGCACCTGTAAACCTCCCAAGTGCCTGCAGGGATATTGCTTTGAGCAAAATGGCCTCAAAGAGCAGACTTACTGCATGCATTGACATAGGCGGGATAGCGTCGCTAAGTGAATTCCGTCTTGGTATCTCACATCTTCTTGCAATCGAAAGTTTTATCTTGGGAACCACCGCAGCAATATCTATTCCCTCAAATACATGAAGAGCAGCCTCAATGTTACCTTTTTGATACTCAAGCCGACCTAATAATGCTCTTGCTTCCTAAAATAAAAGTGTCTCTTAGCCTCCAAGTAGAATATGAAGGGAATAGAAGTTGTAAGTCAAGAGCTTTTACTCATGAGAATTCAAGTTAGTTATGTCGTCCACCATGGACATTGCAGCTGACATGTTGAAAAGTTTTTTGTATTTCAATACAGTCACGCCATGTTAATTTTCGTTGATATGACAGAATCTCCAGTTTTAAAATGGTATTAGTGATCCATTACAAAGTAAAATATAAGCACACCATTACGGGAGAATTGCAAGTAAAAACAACGGTAATCATCATTCATGCAAAGAAAGTGGGGAATACTTTATGTACAACTTCATACAGAGATGTATATAAATCAGAGAAAGTCTCATTCATTTAAACCTTTTGCATGCAAAGTAGCTTATTTTCCTTCTGCTTCCATTATGAATTTAATTTTACTCACATGCTACTGATCCATCCCCTCAATTCTTTGAGGATGCAAGAATGCACTTTACTCTTTAAATGTAAAAATAACTGTGTCTACCAAATCATCGGTCTGATTATATAAATTTTAGACCACGTACACAGTGGAAAAAGAAATACATGGACTTCTATTCCCTGTGCCTCAGTAAGAAAACAAATCTCGGTTTGCCCAACACCAGATTAACAATGGAATTTATCTAATAACAAAACTAGATTCTGCCATTCTCAACTGAAAAATTCCCTAGTATCTGGAATGTATAAATGAGAAAACTTCCTTACTGCATCAAAATCAAATTGAGAGGCGAAAATTGTGATAATAACATCTGATTATGAAAAAGATAGGAACAGTTAACTATGGGATCGAAAGAAAAGCTAACTTCATCATTAGTATCCTTTGCAGCACCAACCTCATAATTCAAAATGCCACTCTCACGAAGTGATGATTCTGCTTCTTCTATGTTACTGGTGTCTGCCTTAGCGTCATCTCCGGCTCGCGAAGAATACCCACTAGCTGAATAGTCCCGAGTTGCAAGAGACTCGGATGATGGAATAATATCTTCAATCCTCAGTTGTTCCCCTGAGCAAATGCACTTCATCATCTTCCGCAATCTAAGGCTTAAACTAATTTTCTGCTTGTAAATCCAATACTTAACTCTCATCCTGTCTCATTACGCTGAAATGTTTAATCACAAAACATATCAGAACCCACAGTGGAACATGAATCAGAAGTTAGTAAACCAACAACAATAATAACAAACTCAGTGTATAAGAGAAGAAAGCAAGAAAAAACAAAAAAATAAACTTGGCATAGAATACATAACAAAAATTCTACTTTGATTGAAAAAGGAAAAGGAAAGATTAGCCCAAATTCAATCTCTTTCCCCTTGCAGGATTGTGTGTTGATTACACATATACCCTTTTAGCTGGAATTCAAGATGACCCTTTTTTCTTCCAAAGAAGGCCCAACTAAAAAGTTTTACACTGTTCAAGAAATGCTGCACCTAAATTATGTGGATCATAGACATTAAATACCCTAAAACAAATAGAACAAAATTATTAAGGTTTGTAAAGCCCTAAGATATTGAATTGAGTAAAATTAAGCAAAATCCAGATACAGGAAAAACCCAACATTACCCAAACAGAGCCTCCTCAGTTGAGCTAAACACAAAGGGTTTAACCAATAACAGAACTGAAACAAAAACTCAATAATCCAGAAAAGTTCACCAACAACCAAGCCAGATGTTGCATCATTCAGGGGAAAAGATTTCAACTTTCTTAAAGCCAGGACAGCTAAAAATTTCAAGGGGAAAAAAAACTCAATGTATCATAAAAATGGGTGCAAGCAATCAACTCCAAACAGTGAAAGATAGGGTTAAATCAAAAGTACCTTTTGATTGGTAAAAAGCATTGACTGAGCTGAGCCCACAAGATATTAAAGCCTCCACTACCTCCCATTTCTTCCAAAAATTAAAGCTTTTTAGCTTGATTTTCTTGACTGAGTTAAACCCAAAAATGAAGAATCCAAAGCTTTATAAAATTATGTTTTTCTTGCACAAGTTTTCAACTGTAGATTTTAGTGGTTCTATTTACACATGGAACTGTGGAAGAGAAGATTCAAAAAGTCAGACAGACACAAGTAGTGAGTGCATTAAATGTGAGAGACCCAACAAACCCTGAAATCTTCTCTTCCTTTATCAGTAAGAAATTAGAATTTAGAATGCAGCAATTATTTTGTTAATGTGGGTAAATTTTTAGTTAATTGTGACTAAGATTTTTCTTACAATAAATTAGTAAATCTCTGACAGAGTCTTGAATTCCTTTGCAGTGGGAGTACTAAATTTAATTATGTTGATTATTTTAATGGCTGCTTTAGAGAAAGGAATAGAATGGGTCCCATTGTTGAATTTTGGGTACAAAGGCCTTTCAAATGTCTGTCAGTTGCCAACTGTGTATTTAATATAAAAATGATTCTTTCATTTACTGATTTATTTCTCTTTTCTTAACTTTAAGAATAAAAATTATCAATTGTTTTATCCCTCTGCACGTGCTTTATTTCATTTTTGTTTTTCGAACGGAATACTGCTTTATTTAAAGTTTTAAACTACAATTGATAAAGCGGATTACTTGGAGTCCGTTTGGACATAAGAAATTTTTCTTCTTTATGTTTGATTATGAAAGTTTTATATTTTTTTTAAATCCAATTTGAAAATGTATTTTCCAATTTGAAAAGCGACTTCTATTGAAAAATTGGAAAGTTAGTATTTTTAAGTTTTACAAATTTACCCTACAACTATCCACCATCTGATTGAGTGGCCTTGGACTATATTTTAGTATCCACTGTTGAGATCTACAATTTATACTTTTACCCGAAAGAGCCACTACAACTTCTATTAGAGATTGTTCGTACAGTTAAACAATCAGAATGTTTGATTGTTTGTTTTAAGTCGGGTGATTTTGATATTTTTTTTATATAAATTATGGGTATAAATCATGTTTCATAGTTATGAAAAAAGTACATCCAAATATGTTACAAAAATTATAACCAAATACAACTTTATCTTTAAATCAAATTTTAGTGAAATTTCAAATTTTAAAAAAAATAATTAAAATTTATGTCCAAACGCCAACTTAAAATTGATAAATCCATATTGCAAATGTACATTGTTTGCGATAAGAGGAGAATTTTTTTTATTGTTTAAAGTTGAATGAGAAATTTAATTTTTAAGACAGAATGAGAGGAGGAAATGATTTTAACCCCAATGTATTACTGATAAAATTGGAGGTGATGCAGGCATATTATTTTGTATCCCAAATTAAACAACAAGAATTTTCCAGAGTACAATCCAAATATGATTTGCAATTTATTTTTGTTAAAATAAAATATGTGAAAAGTAAACACAAAGGACTTAGCTAGCGTTTGGTTATAGATCCCAAATTTGTTTTGAAAAATCTTATTTGGTGAAGTTTGGTTTGAAGATGAAAATGTGTTTGGACATACGTTTTCAAAACATATTTCCCAACTTTATTTTGGAAAAACATGTATATAATTCCCAAGTTTTGGGATTTTGGCCCAAAATCAGCAATTAGGGTGATTTTGAAATTTGGGATTTGGGATTTTGTCAAAATATTGACAAAATTTATGGCCAAACATGAATTTTGAAAATAAATTCCAAATTTATTTTGGCAAAATTCATGACCAAATGGTCCTTATTGCTCTTTAAAGAAAGAAAACGGCACTCCTGCCATTTTCAGTGACTCAAAGGGATATGACATTAACTTTTTAAATGTGTTAGTACATATAATTCAACAACCTTTTTATTCAAAATTTAAACTTTAGCAAGAGAGTCATACTTCCTCTATTTTATTCTATGTTACATATAATTCCACTATATTTGATTCAACATAGAATTGATGATCTTAATTTAATTTATATATATTATATTAATGATCATGGAAGAAATGTTAATGTAGTGGCCAAAGATCAGATTGATAGAGAATATCCAATTAAAGTTTTAAGTTGAATAATCTTATGAGCTTAGTGTAATAAATTCTTGAAATTTTTGAAGATTATTAAATGTAATGGTGTCAAACATTTTGAAACATTTATATGAATCCCCTCCATTCTTACTTAAGTTCCATTAAGAAGAGAAAACGCTTATTTTGGCAATGGGACTTCAAGATTTGGAATTGGTTTTTATCCATGCTTATTTGTCCACTATACAAAAAATAGATGTCCATTTTTACTTGTCTGATTGGAAAATCAATGGATAATTTACCATTTTATACATATTCTACCCTTCTTATTAAGTAGTACTTATTTTCAATTACTTTTCAACATATAATAAATAGGAGGTAATAATATAGCAAAATTATCAAGTTATTTATTGTTTTTAAAGAGGGGTGCCAAGTCAATAATGAACAAGACCTGGACAGATGGAGTACCATTCTATGAGATACAATATTTTGGGTTTATGGTATTATCCATTTTACCATTGCTAGCTAGGACTGCATGCGCTGATTATACCTGTCCATGGTTAATTCGTGTTGAAGACGAAGTTTCTGAACCTCTTGTGAAGTAATCATTGGGCCTAAACACAGCACACATATATTGGGCATGAATAGAGCAAATATACATTGGGCTTGTTATATATGACTATGGAACTGTCCTTAATACATAAATCAGTACAAGCACAACTGATATACATAAATTAGGGATTTACTATTTGTCTCCCATTATGCAGGACATTGTCCTTAAATTATGCTTGTACAACTTTTATTGTTTGTCCTTTGTACAGATACAGTGACAGATGTTTTCTCGCTTTACATTCCTAGTTTTGTATATAATAGCATATAGACTTTGTAATACATAGGAGCAGAAATACAAAGAAGCTAAGAAAATCTTTCTCTGCAATTTTTTCTACTTACATGGTATCAGAGCAGGAGCTCTAATACACACATATACATTTTTTTTATCCTCATTTTTTGCTACGGAAGTCCCCTCTGTATCTGATGCTTCATCTGGAACAGTTTTCACAGGGACTGTTCCAAATCCCATTGATGGATCACACCCCTATTTTTTGAACTCTTCAGATTCACCTGGAATGAATCTAATTAATGTTAATTTTGATGGAAGCAGTTATGGAAACTGGAGGAGGGGAGTTTTGATTTTACTTTCTGCTAAAAACAAACTGGGTTTTATAAATGGATCTTGCAAAATCCCAGAAGAAAGCTCGCCTTTGTTTGAATAATGGAGAAGATGCAATGATATGGTCATTGCATGGCTGTTGAACTCTTTGAGCAAAGATATAGCTGAGAGTGTGATTTACTCTCAAACTGCTGAGGAACTTTGGAATGAGCTGGAGCAGAGATATGGACAGGCCGATGGTGCTAAGTTGTTTCAGCTGCAAAGAGAACTCAACAATATTTCACAGGACACCAATGATGTTGCAGTATATTTTACTAAACTTAAAAGGATTTGGGACCAAATGAAGGTTCTTAACACATTCATGACTTGTAGTTGTGAATGTAAGTGTGGAGCCAAGAGTCACAACCAAAAAATGAATGAGGACCAGAAGTTAATCCAGTTCCTCATGGGTTTGAATGAGGGGTACTCAGGTGTTAGGGGAAACATTCTCATGATGAAACCCCTACCTTCTACAGCACACGCATACTCTATCATTCTCCATGAAGAATCTCAAAGGGAGGTCCATTCTGCAAGCCAAGTGTGCACTGAATCTAGTGTCTTCAATGTTAATGCACCAAAATGGAATAGACAGAAAAGCAATACTGAATACAGGGCAAATAACCAAATTTCAGCAACGACGGAAAAAGAAACAATCATTTTTGCTCATATTGCAAGAAACCAGGGCATAACAAGGAAAAATGCTACAAATTGGTTGGATATCCAGTCTTTTAAGTTCACCAAGCCTAAGAGAAATTATGGAGACACTCAAGCTAATATTGCCACTGTTGAAGAAAGGGAAAGAAAGCTCAGGTGGTACAGTGGGTATTGGAGGAACTGTACCTGCTATGATAAGTACACAGGGGTTCTCTAAGGAACAGTGTGAGCAGCTGATCCACATGTTACAGGCTATGCAAGTTGGAACCTCTAATGGTTCAGGTACTGATGCCAATGCCAACTTTGTGGGTAAAAGTTCTTTCCTGCTTTAACTATATTTCTTGTTTTACCACTCATACATCTAAATATTGGATAATAGATTCTGGCGCTTCCCAACATATGACATTTGATAAAACATAATTAAGAAATATGAGAGCTCTCTCTGTCCCTATTCAAGTAAAATTGCCAAATTCTTATGTGGTCAAAGTTTATTACATAGAAAGTGTTTCTCTCTCACCCAAATTTCAATTACACAATGTTCTTTATATACCTAGATTTAAACATAATCTTCTTTCTGTTAACTAGTTATGCTTGCAACTAAACTGCCTTGTCATTTTTTTTTAAAATTGGATGTTTTGTGCAGGCCCCTTCTCTGAAGAGGCCAATGATGCTTGGTGAAGCCAATGGAGGAATCTATCTGCTGGAAGATGGTTCATTAAAATCTAGAGTGCCTGGGTCTGATCCTACTTGTTCAGAATCTTTACTTTATTTCCCTAAAAGTTTTGAGAAGACTTGTAGTTTAGCCAATTCTGAGTCTTTTGGTCCAGTCCTTTAATTCTGCCCCAGAGTCAGTTCAAACATCTGTAAAAGGATCTTTTGCATCTAATGAGAAGATGACTATGGATGAAATTAATATTTCTCATTCTACGAACCCCAATAGACTTTGGCATTTAAGATTAGGACATCTTCCCTTCTATGCAATGAAGAACATCAAGAAAATACCTTGTCATACTTCAGACAAACATATTTTTCCTTGTGACATATGCCCCATAGCAAGACAGTCCAAATTGCCATTTCTAACTAGTAGTATAAAACACTGTTTTGAGATGCTTCACATAGACATTTGGGGTCCATACATTGTTCCTACATACAAAGGAGAACGATATTTCCTAACTATTGTGGATAATTTCTCAATATTTACTTGGACTTATCTTTTGTCTTCAAAATCTAATGCTTTTCCTACTTTAAAGTCCTTTTTGACCCTTATTGAAACACAATTTTCAGCCAAAGTTAAAGTAATTAGATCTGATAATGCATATGAATTACGAACAGGGACTGTTTCTTCAAATTTTTTTCTTTCTAAAGGAATCATACACCATACTTCTTGTACTGCTATCCCACAACAAAATGGGGTAGTAGAAAAAAAACACAAGCACTTGCTAGAGACTTGTAGAGCTTTACTTTTTCAATCTCATTTACCAAAGAAATATTGGGGCGACTGTTTGTTAACAACTACATACTTAATCAATAGGTTTCCTTCAAGAGTTCTAAAGCACAAATCCCCCGATCAAGTTTTGTTTGGCAAGGTGCCCGATTATTCGTAATTACGACCCTTTGGTTGTTTATGTTTTGCTTCTACTCTAAACAGAAACAGGGATAAACTACATACTAGGGCAATTCCGGGAGTTTTCCTAGGCTATCCTTTTGGAAAAAAGGGATATAAAATTCTAAACCTTCGGTCCAATCAAATTTTTGTGACTAGAGATGTCAAATTCTATGAGTTTATATTTCCCTTTTCATATTATGCACCTCTGTCAAAGTTATTTCCAGCAAGCATTCCTGTTGTTGATAAGGATTTACCCATTTTTTCTTCCCACCAAGAATCTCAGAATCAAATTATGACACAAGAGATCTCCTCAATTTCTTCCCCTAGTCCTACAGATTTAGTTTCTCCTATTTCCAGTTATTCTGTTCCTACAGGTGAACCACTTCCAGCAGATGGGCTACGCAGGTCAGCCAGAGAGCACAATGCACCAAAGTATCTTTCGGATTATATATGTAATGCAGCTTTTTCGGTTATATCTCCTAACCCACCTATCACACCCTTTCATTCTTTCTTTTTTTTCTGTACTTTCACACTTCAACCAACATTTTATTAATTCAGTATGCCATATCACTGAACCTAAGTCTTACCGAGAGGCAGTACTTCATCCTGGTCGGCAACTGGCTATGGCAAAAGAACTTGATGCTTTAGAATCCAATGGTACTTGGGAAGTAGTTCCTCTTCCAGCCAGAAAGAAAGCACTGCCTTGCAAATAGGTTTACAAAATAAAGGTTAGATCAGATGGGAGTTTGGAAAGACTAAAAGCAAGATTAGTTATACGAGGAGATACACAAAGGAAAGGGGTCGATTACACAGACAAATTCTCTCCTGTGGTAAAAATGACTATTATTGGGTGTCTGTTGGCAGTAGCAGTAAAAAGAGATTGGAAATTATACCAACTAGATGTGAACAACGCGTTCCTTCATGGAGACTTGGATGAAGAAGTCTTTATGAAATTTCCACCAGGTGCTGCAACACCAAGTGATTCCCATGTCTGTCGTCTTTGCAAATCTCCCTATGGCCTAAAACAGGCATCTCGCCAATGGTATGCACGATTGTCATGTGCATTGGGAACCAGAGGTTTTACTTCCTCCCTCAATGACTACTCTCTATTCTTCAAATCTTCTGGTACTCTCACCACTATTATCGCAGTACATGTGGACGACATTCTCCTAACAGGAAACAACCAAGCAGAAATTAATGAGATTAAATCATTTCTTGATTTTGAATTCAGAATTAAAAATTGAGGAGAGGCAAGTTATTTTTTGTGAATGGAAATCTTACACAAGAATGGTGGACTAATTTTGACTCAGAGAAAATTTGCTCTTGATTTACTTTCTGAATTTGATTCTCAGCACTCAAGGGTTGTTTCCACTCCACTTGACTCGAATTTTAAGCTCACAGCAGATTCTGGAGAGCTTTTGTCAGATCCAACAGTATACCGACGATTATTGGGAAAATTAAACTATCTGACTCACACTAGACCAGATCTTTCCTTCACTATACAGACCTTGAGTCAATATATGCAAGCCCCCAGGACCGGACACTTCCAAGCTGCTTTGCATGCTCTTCGATACATCCAAAATGACCCAAGTTTGGGTCTTTTCTTCTCTTCGGAACAATCTTTCCAAATTCTCAGTTATTGTGATGCCGATTGGGCATCTTGTTCGGATACTCGCAGATCTGTGAGTGGATTCTTCTTGACTATGGGCAATTGTCCCATTTCGTGGAAATCGAAAAAGCAACAGGTCGTTTCCCTATAATCGGCGGAAGCTGAGTACCGATCTCTTCGCAGATTAGTAGCTGAACTCTCTTGGATAGTACGTCTTCTCGCTGACATCTCTGTTTCTCCTTCACTACCGGTCTTCGTCAACTGCGACAATCAGGCAGCGATCCACATCGCCAAAAACCCAGTTTTTCACGAACGAACAAAGCACATCGAATTAGACTGCCATTTCGTTCGCGAGAAACTGCTTGATTAGCCGGACCTTTGCATCGGCATTTTTTGGGCAAGTTAGGAGTCCGATTTCGGGCTCCCACTTGAAGGGGGGTGTTGAAGACGAAGTTTCTGAAGCTTCTGATCCACTTGTGAAGTAATCATTGGGCCTAAACACAACACACATATATTGGGCCTGAATAGAGCAAATATACATTGGGCTTGTTATACATGACTATGGAACTGTCCTTAATACATAAATCAGTACAAGCACAACTGATGTACATAAATTAGGGATTTACTATATATCTGTCTCCCATTATGCAGGACATTGTCCTTAAATTGTGCTTGTACATTGTCCTTAAATTATGTTTGTACAGCTTTTATTGTTTGTTCTTTGTACAGATACAGTGGTAGATGTTTTCTCACTTTACATTCCTAGTTTTGTATATAATAGCATATAGACTTTGTAATACATAGGAGCAGAAATACAAAGAAGCTAAGAAAATCTTTCTCTGCAATTTTTCTACTTACAATTTGTAAGTATTATCAAAATAATTATAATTCGCTTAAGTTAGTAATATAACTAGGCTGAGTAAACTCTAGAAGTTTTCAGATTTATTCCTACTATATAGCGAATGAGAAATTATGATTTGATTTTCGTTTAGCTTAAGTAATTTGCACAACTGCTGGATTAAAGATTAAGACTTTATATATTTTGTCAGCCGTTCTGCAAATCTACGAACAAGTTATTACCTGCAAGAGGTATGAAATTTGCACAATACTTCGACGAGCTAATTATTTTAATCATAAAGCGCTATCGTCTAAAGAAGTATTTCCTTTTCAAAAATCTATCACATCGATCTTTCCATTTTCCTGCGAATCCAAGTAATAATTTCTCCCAACATGCAAAACAACAGGTGGGATAAACATGAGTTTGGGAACTGCGAATTAGCCTGGGACTTGTGTCCACAGAAAAAGAATTGAATTTAGAGCAACGAAAGGGTAACACTGATTTTGAATAATTATAGGCCAGAAAAGAAAATTTTACAGTAGTACTGATTTCGAGTCTTCGACCCTCGATTTTTCATGCGCGCGCACACACGTGTATATATATATATATATATATATCAAGAGGTAAATATTCTCAGTCTTATCTTCATGCATTTGACGAGTGCAATCAGGGGCGAAGCCACCTTTTACGACCACCCTTCACTCAAATATTACACTGCGTATATAAGTAAAATACTGATTTTAGATGTATAAAATATATATTGAACACCTTTTGTCGGAAATTCTTTTTTAGTTCTTTCAAATTTGAAACCCTTAAAAATATTTTTGACTTTGCGAGTGCAATACGTATGTGATAAAGCAATATATTTGAATGTGTAGATATTAAGGAATATATATATATATATATATAGCCCAATAGGTTAGAAGGACGATTTCATTTCATTGATAACTTGCATGTGAATAAAAAATGCATGTACGTAACAACATGGAAATTAATTAATGATAACAGCATTGTGGTACATGCTAATTAAAAGTCAACAATCTTTTTCTTGAAAATAATGCAAGTCCTTGCATGTTTTTGAGTTCATGCAACTGAAGAAACTAGCTAACAGTATTAGTGATGTCCACCAATTCCACCACCAAAAGCACCTCCAACTCCCCCACCAAAACCACCTCCAAATCCACCATATTTGCCAAAGCCTCCTCCTTCACCACCACCTTTGCCAAATCCGCCTCCAGCTCCAGCTCCAGCACCACCACCTTTGCCAAATTCGCCTCCAATTCCTCCTCCTGCTCCATTGCTATCTCCTCCACCATTTCCAATTCCACCTCCAATGCCTCCACCTTTACCAAATCCTCCGCCTACACCACTACCAACACTTCCACCTTTGCCAATGCAATCTCCACCAATGCCTATCCCTTCTCCAATTCCACCACTCTTTCCAAATCCTCCTCCAACACCACTACCAATTCCACCACCTTTGCCAAATCCTCCTCCTACGCCACCAACTCCGCCTCCTTTGCCAAAGCCACCACCAACTCCACCTCCAATACCACCAGCCTCTCCACCTATTCCTCCTCCATTTCCAAATCCTGCACCACCTAAACCACTTCCACTTCCAATGCCGCCACCAAATCCACCCCCATACCCCGCTCCAAACGCACCACCAAATCCACCACGCTTACCCATCCAGAAAAACTTCTCATCATCAACATCTTTCACCTTTCTCGCAAGAACCATATTACTTCCCACAAGGACATGAAAGCAAACCAATGCTAACACACATATCCTCATTCCCAGGCCTATCATCTTCAAGGAATTCATGTGAAATTACGTGACTTTTCTCTCTCTCTCTATTTTCGATATATATATGCAAATAGCATTAAGAGTTAAACGGCTTTATATACTTGTGTATTCTTATGTGGTACGTACTTCACATTCTTGCTCTAGCTAGCATTGATGCGCTTTAAATAGCTTCAACTTCTACCCGTTAGCCGCACTGTAGATGCTGAAATAATTATGGAACTGGTATAGAAGTGCCCTTCTTTCAGTTTACAGTTACACTTTGCAATAAAGAATGTTCAACTTTATTATTATTATTGCAATATAGTATAACTGGCCAGCCACTTTACAACATAGTGCATGAATAATGGAGTGGATAACAATAAATTTGTTCCATTTAGATCTCTTCGCACCGTAAGAATTTATTTCGAGGGTGAAAAACTAGTAGACAGTGGTGGCTTCTGTTAATGATCGATCAAGTTACAGTTCACTCTCTGATCAAAGAGCATCTATACTTATTTTTTGAACAATAATATTAATTTTTTCCAAAAGTGCTAGCTATACCTTTACTTCCATTTTTATTTGAACAATAATTTTGTTTTTTCATAAGTGCTAGGAGAGTAGCTTCTTCATTTCTTGCTTGCTTGTAATTAATCATGATCTAAATCGTTTCAGTCCTCCCTTTAGACATGTATAAGAATTTTTTTTGAATATTTAAAAACATCACATTCAAACAAATTTGCAAGGCTATATATTGTCCTGTAGTTTTTTTAATTTCTTTTTCCACTGATTCAAAGAATTTTATTATCCCAGCTTTTCCCGATGAAGGTACTACTCCTTAGTCAAGTGTTCTAAAAATAAATTTTTATTTTTACTTGTCACTTTTCGCATATCAAGAGAAAAATAACTTATTTTTCATGTTTTGCCCTTAGCATTAATTACTCATTCCAAATATCTTTTCCAAATTTATTAAGACTATACACCAATTAATATGGGTGTCATGGTAAATTATTCCCTTCATTTATTACTATTTCTTAAGGGGTATGAAAAGTCCATAGTGGACAACTAAAAGTGAACGGAGGGAGTATTTGTTTCCTCTCTTTTTTTTCATTGCTTTTATTCAATTATCTTTAAAGCTCATACTTAAAGGCATTAATTACCAAAATTTCTCTCTGATAATTAATTTCTCCAGAATTTTGAATGACAAGACTTCTGCTGGCACAATTGGGAGCTGAATTTTACTTCTGTTGGCTCAATAATTGGGAGTTGAAATTAATTTACTCCCTTAGAATTGTATGTATTGTCAACTTTAACAATGTAAAAGAGAGATTGAAGAGAGGAGAAGAGTAGAAGAAGACTTGGAGAGAAAAATTAACAGTTTCTCATTTCTTCTTCATACTACAGTAGTGTATAGTAGATTATATATATACACAGCTTCTAACCGACTTTAATTTACTAACAAACTAGAATTACATAAATAACTATTGTATTAACTAACTAGCCAACTAATACACAACAGTTTATATTCTCAACACTCCCCCTTAAGCTGATGCTTTGAATATATTCTCAATACCAAGTTGATTCAACAGGGCCTCATGTTATGCTTTTCCAATGCTCTTGGTCAGTAGATCTGCTAGTTGATCCTTTGTTGAGAGATGATGAGTTGTGATTACTCCTTGACTCAACTTTTTCCTTACAAAATGACAGTCAATGTAAATACCTAATTTTTGCTCTTTCCATTTCTCCTACATTTTATTTTTCTTCTAGGTTTCTTGTGTGCATTTATAGATTTTTGAATTTGATTTTAGTCTAGTTAATTTGTTAAAAGGTTTAAGGGATTGAGTTAATTATTTCAAAGTTGAAATTGGCCCAAATTTGGACAAAATTGGCGGCCCAGACCCGGTCCATTTGTAGGTCTGCTGAGCATAGTAACAAAACGACGTTGTTTTGTTTAATGAGGCAAGATTGAATCTCAGCCACTCATCATCACATGATCCAACGGTCCTAATTCAATCTCTCACCTAGGTATTTAAAACCTATAGAGACCGAAAATTGCCCCCATTTCCCCATATCTCTTTCTTCTTCCTCTCTCTTCTCACTCTCTCCTCTCTTCTTATAGATCCGCCTGTCGCCGCCCAGCGCCGCCCGCCGAAATTTGCCACCGGCGGCGGCCAACCTCCAATCCACCCCAAAATTTCACCACTTCTTCCGCTCAACCTCCTCTCCATGAATCCGAACCCCAAATCCCCATAACCCTTCTCAATCTCCGTAAATATAAGCTTAACCGAAACCCTAGCCGCCGTTCACCACCTCCAATCTCCGCTGAAATCGCACCATTTCCTCCTCTTCTCCTCCTCCCTCCATATCTCCAACTCATGTCCCCAAAATCCCCATCACTGCCGACCCGAACACCCAACTGTCCCGCCATTTCTGCCCTCCCACTACCTCATTCTTTAAGCCTATTCGATCCAAAAACTTATATTTCCTTCTAGCATGACGCCAGAACTTATTTGTTTAGGCGTATACTAAAAGGAAGCTTGCGTTTTGGAGTCGTATAATCATTGGTTGATATCCTCGGCATCTTCTCGTTGTGCGATTTGTCCTCGAATGTGCCCGAGTTTTGATAACACCTCTTTCCTTTTTCTGATTTCGTTCTTGTAATTAGCATTAGGTTTAAAGTTTAATTCTCATTCACGTTTATGTTGTTCTTATAAATTTAATTAGTAATCTGTTGTTTACTATTATTTTCATGTCATTATACGCTGCTTCAAATCATTCCTTTTGTTGCTCGTCATGATTAGTTTAGACGTATCGGTTAGGCGACTGAGATCAATTGAGCTACTTTTTGACTGATTAATCATTTAGTTGGTTACATTGATCTGATTCATATGTGAGATTTCTATGTCGTTCTTCGTGTTAGTTTATTTTTATCAGTTTAGTTTTTTTGATTAATTATTGGTCAGTTCAGAATCAATAGTGTTTAGTTGTCATGTTTCGTTATGCCTCCGGACTTTAACTGAATTTTCAAAGTCTTTGGACTCCAACTGAAACCTGAATCATTTCTTTAGGTTTCTGATTTTTGTTGCCTACTATTTTATTGTAGTTATTGTAGTAATATAAGTTCTGTTAGTGGTCGATTCTAGTTCATTTTCTATCTAGTTTTCAGTTTCGTCTTTGCTTAGTCAATCTTTTTCACTAAGTTGTTTTCTCTGTTAACATGTGTCTTGCTTGGTTTGATTTTAGTCATTAGGTTTTAAGTTCTCTTGATTGATTAATGGTTCAGTGATAAGTTTCAGTCACATATTTGTGGTAGATCAACTATGTTCTGGTTACTTGCTTTTCATTTGGTTGGAGCAAGCGGTTTGGTATTGTTGTTGTTAAAAAGCTGCAGAGTAGATGCGTAATCATATGTTAGGGGTACATTAGCAACTTATTTTTAGTGCTAGAGTGGCTGAAATACTCCCTTTTACCCCATGCTTCTACCACAGTTGTTGAAGGACTGTCCTTTCCCCTTTTGGACAGACTTTTAGCACACAAAAATATGTCTTTTGGGTAGTTATTTGGTAGCAAAAGTTAGTCCTTTTGGACAGACTTTTGGTAAACCAAAATCTATCCAAAAGTTGCTTCTTTCTCCTACTTAAGAGCTCATTTTGACGCACACAATCGAACACACTTAGCCATCACCTTCTATACCTTGAAAAAGCACAAAACTTCAGAAAAGATCAGCTGAACATAATTAATAGTGATCTTAAAATTCTGAACTTCGTGAGTGTTTCTTAGAGTGTAAAACTTGTAAGAAAAATAGAGGAATCCTAGGTGATTGCATGAGGAAGTAGCTACTGGTTTCAAATACTTACGTGCTGGATTTTTCTGGGCTGTTTCTTGAGTCATAAGTTGTTGATTTTGCTGCTGTTGCGTTGCTAAAATTAAATCCCTCCCTTGCTAATATTTTTTCTCTGTTGATCAGGTAATTCCTCAACTATTGTACTACTTTTGGGTCAAGAATGAATGGAAAGGGAGTGTTTTGAATCCCTTTAGAATATTCTATACCTTGAAAGTATTATGTTTGTGTATAATCTGTTTCCCTTTTAAGTATCAAGCATGTACAAGAGTTTAGCTAAACTTTTTTTTGTGTTAGTCAATGACTTGTTTAGATGATGTTCTAATTGCTGATTTTTCTGTGTTAGACATTCCTTTCTACCTTCAATAGTGTAAATCTTGAATGAAGTTTATGGAAAGTCCTTTCCATATAATGCTTCTGTTGTTTAGAATGTTGTAGTTAGAGTTCATGTTGGTCTCCTAATGAAAATGCTCTTAGTGACCAAATCTTAAAGCATGTTAGTGTCATTATAATCTCATCTTTCTCTTTTCTTAGTTATGAGTTCATATAACTGCTCTTAGAGGTTTTGCACAATTATTACATGAGTTGATGGCTTTTCTTGTTTACTGATGGTTTCAAACTTAGTTCGAACTGAATGTCATATGAGTATACGGGTAAAAGAAAAACTCAAGATGTTTTAAATATAAATAGACTTGAGTTAAATAGAAATTGAGTTTTGTTCTCTATTTAAAGAAGATATGTAATAGGAAATTAATATTGTTTAATAGTTAGATTGCCAAATTTGTTTAAAAACAATTACTAAATGATCCAATGTTGGTGTAAATTTAGGCAACTTGGTGTCACGATCCGAATTTCCCACCCTCGAGAGTCGTGATGACGCCTACTCGTAGAAGCTAGGTAAGCCATGAAATATAGAAAATTCAATCTCTTTCATTTTTAACTCTTTTTAACGAATTGAATTAACAGGTGATCAACATTTAAATAATAGCGAAAGATGAAATTGAGCGGAAGATTTAGACTAATATAATACCAAAATCAGTACGAAAATGCCAACATGCGTCTCTACCTAGAAACCAGTGTCACAATATCCACAGACTGTCTATGAATACTACATACA